TTTTAATTAAAGCTGTTTAGTTTTGCCGTTTTGCTTTTTGTTAGAATAATTTTAATGTTATATTTGTCATCAACGTTCTATGTGCTTGTCTTTTGTTTTTTCTTCAGAATTTCATTGTTTGTTTTTTGCTGTTTTTTTTTTTTTTTGGTTTGTTAGTTTTTTTTTGCCAAGTTAACTTTTGAAATTCAATTTACTAATACTGATTCATATTTGAATAAATTCAATAAAAATACATATTGTACGCTGTGCTGTTTTTTCTAAGGTGCTATATTAGTGATAGGTTGCAGATGAGATGGTTTTACAGATGAGCACAAGACACTCAAAAAAACACTACAGTGTATTTTTCATAACACTTTGTTTTGCTTCAGTAGAGGAAGCTCAAGGGGACGACAAGAGTTCAGACAAATACAGAGCTTGCACTGCTGACCGCTGCCCTGCAATTGCTAAAGTTATGAGTGAACTTGCAGAATCTCTGCAGGCACGGCAACAGAGAACCCTATCTTCTGTAAAGTATGTTCATTTTGCTGAATTCATTTCTTGATTTGTACTTCCTTAGAAATATAGAAATTTACCTTTTGAACATCTGCTTATCTAATCTGCTAAATGTGACAATACAGCATGAATACATAGGTATTATAAACATTAATGTCACGGTTTTCTGTAAAGCTGCTTTGAAACTGTTGTGAAAAACACTGTAGAAATAGTTTGTGTGGATGTTTCAGCCAGATAATATCAACCAGGAAACTAATTCACTGTTTCTTTTCTTGAAGTAACTGATTCTCAATATCTTTCTTTCAATTCCCTCTGTAGTTCTTCTATATCCCAGAATCAGCTAGCAGAAGATTCTTCTACAGGTTTGTTTTCTGAGCATCACACCCCTGAGGCTGAGCTTAAGGCACTTTCTGGCTGTCAGCTGCTGAGAAACCCCTCTGAGAGAGAAGGTTTGACCACCTTCACTGTGGTTCCCCAGAGACGTCAGCAGAGCAGGCAGTGTTTTGAGGTGCCACTAACCTTACAGACACCCGACACTGCTAAAGCCGAACAAGAGCTGTGCCCTGGAGACCAAGATGCTCTTGAGATCTCCACCACAGAGATTTTGGAAGCAGTCACAACTGAACCTTTCAGATATGTGTGCAAACGTTCAGATAAAAGTGAGCACTTATCAGAGGTTCTACATCTACAGCATGTGAAGCAAGAGAATCAAGCTTGTACAAATGTAGAGAGCGAGAATTTGGAACTTAAAGATGAAGAGGACCAATTTATTCATCCAGAAAACATGGAGCTTGAGAGCTTAAAATCATTCCAAAGAGGCCTCGGTGATCTAGAACATTTAGGTAGCACAATGAACAATCTAGAACTAAAAGACAGTTGGGCTAATCCTTCGAAACTTGCTGATAGGTCACCAGTCAATCCAAATACACATCTTGTGGAGCAAGAGGAGAGGGAAGAGCATGCGTTGGTGGAAACTGGAGAAGAAAAGGATTTGGTAGAAGAATACAAAGAGAGAAGAAGGAAGTTTCTAGGTGGTGATGATGGTATGAAAAATGTAGATGTTTGGGGAAGGATCCAGAAAGAATTTACGAACAGGCAAGAAGAAAAAACAATACAAGAAATGGACTTCCCATCACCTCCACTGCCTGTCTGCTGGGATGAGAATAATGGTGAAAATGAAGAGGATTCGAGCGAGCTAGAAATGCAGACCTGTGATGAAGACCTTGACCAATGGGCAAACTTAGACTCAAAGCCCAAATATGCACCTTGTCTACAATATGCCACACCAAAAGCCCACTCGCCCCAAACTAATACTGATCTGAACATCTCTAGGGCTGAAAACAATTGCAGCTCTGATCCTGAACCTCACAGGACTTCCTTTTTATCTGAATCACATTCAAGCTTTGACCCCTACCCTCCTGCAACAGTCTCTCTTTTCGCCTTGGCTGTATTTCAGAAGGCTAAGCGCTCCAAACCAGGGCTGGATCCCAACTGCTCCAGGAGACGGAAGCTGCCCGTGCACACACACAGTGAGTAAACTGATTAAAGACATCACTGAAATATTAATAGAAGTTTATTAATATTAATGAGAGGGTGAACATTTTACATTTGTTGTCAATTACATTGATGTCCTTGCCATTGCATTGTCAACCAACTTGTTGACACCAACGTTTAATGGAGCTTCTTGGACTGAAACATACACTACCATTCTAAAGTAACTGCAAAACTGACAGTAAATTCACATTTATAGTGTTGCAAAAGATTTACATTTCAAATAAATGCTGAACTTTTAATTCATCAAAGAAAAAATCATGTTTTTCACAAAATATTAACGGTTTTCAACATTGATAATAATAAGCATCAGCAGCAAATCAGCATATTATAATGATTTCTGAAGGATCATGT